CTAGTTGGTGGCCCAGATTGCGGAGAACCGCAGTACCCGTACCACTAACGGAATAACACCACCCAGCTAGAACGTAGCGCTCGCTAACTACCAACTGTAGGTAGGCGACCCCCCGGCAGCCCCTGCACCAACCGCTCTCCAGCGAACTCGCTCTGGGTCGTTGGCCGATAGGCTATTGGTGCTGCACATGCAGCTTCCAGAATATGCAATCTGCAGATTACGCACATTAGAGCCTTTGGTCCCACTACCGACACTCCCCTCGCGCCAAAACAAGAACCTGAGCGGTGGTAGTCGCCTGTTTGCTTAGGATCCGGACTGGTATCGTCCATCTTTTGCCACGTTGCGAGCTGTCCCGTCCCAGAATCGACTCCTGCATTCACGAGGACAGTCCGATTCTCAGCCCCTCGTGCCGCGATTCGTCACGCCACATACCCAACCCAGCCTAGATTCGCCCTCAAATAGTAGCTGTTGGCTCCTACGGGTTTGAGTTTCGGCACTGTTCCGTCTTGGTACTGACCTGGAGGCACCCTCCACTATCGTCATCGAGTGTGGGGTTGCCTCTCTGTGCGCCAATCAACCACATGCATCCGCATCTTGGGTATCGTATCCTGCGTCTAGTCGGTCCGTTCTCTATTGACCCTACAACCGTTGGCCGTCAATCTCGTGGAGTTCAGCGACACCCTGGAGATCTTGTCGCCTGGGTCGGTGTCGCCCACTCTTTGCTCACCCTCACACCACACGTGCTCATTGATGCTTACCGGGGGCTTTATTCACTTGACTACCACATCATGTCCCCTCAAAGCAGGTATTCGCTAAACCTCCCCTGATGCTGCTTCAGTACAACTATTGCCACGCAAAAGGATTTGGCCACTGCTGTCAGGACTAAGTGGGTGGGACAAGTGCACATTGGGGTGTGAATCGACTTACAGCACAATCCACCTTTACAATGGCCGGAAGCGCCCCCAGAGGATATATATCGCGCATTGCACTGGTGCTTCCAATGTCTCCATTTGAGGCCTGTGCGTCTTCCTAGCTCTTCATGTACGGAGAGCAACAATGCCTATTGTGATTCATGTCCTTGACTGAATGTTGGTTTGTAGCACAGGCTGGAAGAACAACACGACGCACTGAATTAGGTTGCGAGTCTTAATCTCTTAGCTTCCTCATTGGTCGATCGTTGCGTAATTGTGGCGAGCGTCACTTTGATATCAGGCTGATTGTTACACAGTTCGTAGGGAGAAACTCGGTGATACGGATGATCTGGATACCAGTCGGGTGGTAGAATCGTGCGCGATGATACCCAGGTCCGCTGATCAGTGCGGTTACTCTGAGTTGCAGGGACCACTGAGGTCAGTACTCGCACTGCCGTCAGACCATTCAATTGAGTTCAATAATCTGTGTCGCGAGGCATATTGAGCCAATTCTCTCTTATCTGTACTTCAGCGTCCAGATGGGCATGGTTTGGAATCCAGCACATCCTGAACACAGTCGCAGAGCACCTGGATTCTTGGATCCTGCAATATCCACCAAAACTCAGAGAATGGATATAGACCAGCTCTGAACTGAAGACACATTCAACCAGTCCAGCAACAACGACCCTACCAGGTGTCATTCTGAATGCGGCTAGGATCAGGTTGCCCCAGGTTTTGCAAAGGGTGGCCTGGGGTTTCATCCAAGCCGGCATGCACCAACGCCAACCACGGGATGTAAGTAATTTCTGGACGCAGAGGGATATATTTGTACATATACCCGGCACAGTATGTGCAAGTGTATTCAAGTCCAAGTACTCCAATGTACGTGTCCACGCAGTGTGGGTTGCATCCTCGCTTGCCCTGTTGGTACCCACCCAATAGGAATATCTCTCACGTCTCCATCTTCTCATCGACGGTCTGCTCTAGCCGCCCACGCGTCAGGGATTTTGGCGTTGGAGGAACTCAAAGAGTTTCCCAACATCTTTCCCAAGGGCCCTGAGAACGTTGAAACGCCCAAAGGGCCAACTACATCAGCTTACGCACCTAGTTCGGGGCACATGACCTTGAGCACACAACAGTTGTGTTCGATCACTCACTCTTTTCCAACTCGAGCATACCGGGGTACCCCGAGTTGTACCGATGGTGCGTGACGTAGCGGACGGCAATACGTAGTGCGTCAGATGAGATGCTCTCCAGGCTGAATATCAGCTGGGAATCTAGATCAGAGAAGCTCGAGGAAACGGGACCGTTGACCGCGCCTTGGCCTGGTCATAGACAACCACCAGGCCAAGCCGGATAGCTTAGCGCGCAGGCCCCAGCCTGCTTTACAAATCAGCCGTTCGGCGACTTTTCTCGCTTGCCTGCCAAGCGACTGACATTAAGCATGGCACACCAAAGCTCTTTTCACGCAAAGCCAGGGACCCCATTTCCTTGGTAATAACACTAAATATAGTATTCAGTTAATCATTCTGTAATATTTAACTCAATATTGTGTTCATTACTGGGTTATCTGTTTCGATACTGTGTTAAAATTCAACGTTGGAGGTTCTGGGTGTGCCATGTTTTATGTCAGTCGCCTGCCTGCGGACTTTGATGGTGACAAAGAGCAGAGTCTCCAGTTATTTCTGTTGAATCTATCTTCCCGATTCTTACGCCAAGGATCTTGTATGTGGGCCAACTCGATGGTGAACAAGTGATACACCCGAGCTTTCCGCATCGCTGGACTAATGGTACTACTTCTACTATACACGTTGCCTATGCTGATCACGCAACCGGTCTCACTTGGACTCCTTGGCTGGGGCGGGGCCGCCTGTGGTTGGAAAGCCCATGAATATCTTGAAGTAATCCTAGAGAAAACCTATGAGTCTCGCCAGGTTATCGTACGAAAAGGTGAGTTGAGGGACTTACATAGATCATCCACTGCAAACCAGTCAAGGTACCGATCATGACAATTCGAACCGGAAGGCCGTTCCAGAGACCTGAAAAGCCAATGTCTTTGTAGATCCGGCTCATCGCCTTCCCGAAAGCCTCTCCGGGCTCACGGTTCGCATTTAGTTTACTCACCATGACATCGGCGGGGTGGGAGACAATGGCGCAGAGAATACCGGCAAGATACCCTCCCGTGAAGGAGACGCCCGTCTGCGCGGCCTTGCTATAGTCGCTCTTCTGGCCGGGGAGGCGGTCATAGATCATCTCGACGATGGTCTCAAAGGACGCAAACTTCATCATGGTGTACGGGATCTGGCGGCCCCAGAGCGGGTAGATGCCCTTGTACAGGCCGGCCACGCCCTCCTTGGCGACGACGGAGCTGATGCCGTGGAACGTGCCCCTGAACGGGCTCTGCAGGCTGCCCTGCATGCGGACCTTGACGGCCTCAAAGGGGCACAGGGCAATGTCCGCGAGGAACTCGGCCGACGCGGACGCGGCGAGGTAGAGTCCCGTCCTGTACTTGACGGCGGCCTCGGGGCCGACCGCGTCGGAGTAGGTCTTCTTGAAGTACTCGTACCAGCCGTACTTGAAGGCGCCCTGGGCCGAGTACCCGAACAGCGTCGGGCTCCAGCCCGTGAAGATGCCGCGGAGGCCCTCGCCGCGGTATATCTTACCCCAGGCCTGGAAGTTGCTCGTGTACAGCTTGGAGTCGACCTGGCGGCGGGTCTTGACGAGGTCGAGCGGGGTGACGCCCGCGTGCGTGAGTCCCTGGTTGCATCAAGAAAACGTCAGTTTAAGGCCAAAAGAGCCCAGCAGCAGCGGCCTTGTGAGCGGCCGTGATGTGTGTGGTGTGCGTACGCAGGCTAGCATCCCGCCAAACGTGCAAGCAGCATAGTACTTTGGGGAGTACAGCTCGATCTTCCCCTGCTGCGGCTTGGCTGCTGCTTTGAGCGCCTTGTCTTTGGCATCCTCGACGATGGAGAATGCGGCGCCGTAGAGCTCCGGGCGGGCTTGGAGGGGCGTTCGGCCGTTGAATTGCGAGGTCTTGCTCTGGGCAGAGTCGCGTTTAGGGAAGAAGAGGGACATCATTGTGGGTGAGAGGACCGGTGGTGGAATTGCCTCAGCTTTGTGTACTCGATGTGTCTTGATTCTATAATCACATGCGACGCATGAATGGGCAATGCGGTCAGTGAGGTCCTCGCTTTCCAAGTGTTGACTTCTCGTCTCTCAATGGAACGGAACGGCTGAGCTTCAAGATGATCCCTGTACAAGAGGATAATTCACTATCGCATGAAGAACGCGGGATGGTGATGGATCGTAGTATCAGAGCTGGCCGGCTACGTCTCCTCGTGTAGAGTCATACAAGATGACATCACCGTCGCAGAAGCTCGAGCCGCACCATCCGGAGTTTGTGAGGGTTGCATGTAACCTGCCGGAGATAAGGATGCCGGTTGCAGTTACAAGGAAACTGATGCAGATAGCAGGTAGATGGATGCGAATGCTATGCGGTTATAGCAGGCACGGTTTTACCCGCTCAGCTTGGTTTTGGAATGTAGCTGTGAGCATGTATGCCGGGGCTGTCTGGATCCATAGATAGACATCGCGATCCTCTATGCATCGGTATGAACATGCAAGATTTGTGGTATATTCATATATATATATGTCTATACATCTTTCTATCATATATACTGTTTTGCGAGTACAATGCAATATTTGTGAAGATGGACTGCCCTGGTTTCATTTCACAGAGCATTTCTCAACGCATGATGGTATTGGCGCTGATATTCCCACTGGAATCATTTCACCCACCTTTGTTATACGGAACCTACCTCCTCCGCACTACATGCTTCCCAGTACAGTAGAGCCATGCAGGAAATGATGGGGGTTCACGCACGTAATCGTCCCGTTCAAGAACCACAGCCAAAGCCCCCACTTGGCCCCCGCGAGACATCCCAAATCGCAGCGAAAGCACATGATTAGTCTCCAACTTAAAACATACACATCTCAAATCGACCTTTCCGAAACCGTGATCGACAGGTCACCGCGAAAAAAAGTTGCCAATTCCGATAGATACCTGAACAGTCGACGACAACAGCGAAAATGGTAGTAGTGGCAGTGAATGCGGGGTCGAGCAAACCTTTCGAGTCGAAATGGTCATCCAAGTACCGCGGGGTAGGAAAACATCCCTCCAAGAAGCTGGAACTTAGGTTGGCGATGCCTTCAAGGCCAGAGAGCTCGACCACTATGCGGGCACTCCATCTCCTTCCAATGGTTCCAGAAGAAAAGAAAAAAAGACAAAATGAAGTTCCTAACTAACCAAAACCCCCCACAGGCAACCGTCGAAGACCTCGACCCTCCCGCCGCCCTGTCCCTCAACCCCTCTGACGCCATCTCGCTCGCCCTCCTCTCCGCCTTCGAGCGGGACTACACGCACCTCACGATCGTCGACTCGCAGACCCGCGCGCTGCTCGGGTACATCTCGATCCCCAACCTGCAGTCCCTCCTCGACTCGGGCAAGGTCAAGCCCGACGACCCCCTCTCGGCGGCCATGACCCGCTTCCAGCGCCGGGGCCGCACGTACCAGGTCATCACGATGGAGACGCCGCTCGAGGAGCTCGAGGCCTTCTTCCGGGGCGGGGTGTCGGACGGGGAGTGGACGCAGGACTTTGCCGTCATCACGGACGATAATCGGAGGTTCGTCATGGGCGTGGCGACGGTGCAGGATTTGGAGGAGTTTGCGAAGAGGAGGCCGGAGTAGAGATTTCCACCAAAAGGGATATTTATGACAGGAAAAATATTTGAGATGGGGGCACGATGGGGGAGAAGTTCCCAGGAGACATCACCGTGGAGCTCCCCATTGTGATGGGATGGGGTAATGGCTATCAAATGATGAATACAATTCCGAGTTAGACTGGGATCAATGGGTTTGAGACACGGCAAAGAGTATGGGATCGGATTGGAGAAAGTCATCAAGTCCGACTTCTAGAAAGAAACCAACAACAGACCCCACAGACCGAACCAATTCTCCCGAACGGGACTTTCACGTTTATCGGCAAAGAGACCGTTGTTCATGCCTTGGCATCGACGTATATTAGATGCTTATACTCTCACTATCAATAGCCTCAGAGGAACTCTGAGCCTTCTCATCGCACACCCCATCTACAAACGCCCGCGCTCCCGCATAAATCTACTGGCCAGTGTAGTCGTAGACCAGCTTGACAACCTCCGTCTTGTCCTCCTTCTTGACAACGACATGCCGGACGTAGCGCCGCTCGCCCTCGATCTTCTGGAACCCCCAGATCTGGGTGGCGGTCCACCCGTTGCCGACGCTCTCCACCTCGCTGAGGATGAAGTTCTTGCCGTCCTCCCCGACCTTCTCCTCCTCCCAGTCCTTCTTGAGGAATTCGTCGTCCACCTCGGCCAGGCCCACCCATCTCGTCCTGCCCTTGACCTTGCCGAAGAGCCAGTCCTCGTGCTCGCGCCAGGTGTCGTCGACGCAGCGGCGCTCGTGGGTCGAGCTGAGCCCCGCGGCCGTCTGCTCGATGTCGATGTGGGTAAAGATCTCGGTGGCCGTGTTGGGCGGCTTGGGCGCCGCCTCGTACTCGTTGACGTCGAGGGTGACGCTGGCCAGGCCGATGCCCTTGCGGGTGAGGTAGCCGATGCCCTGGAGGGCCAGGAGGGCGTCTGTGCTGCCGGAGAGGGTCTTGTTCTGTGTTGCCGCGCGCTGTTAGCTCTGGGATTAAGGCGGGGATGAAAGCATTCCTATGGTTTTTTTTTTTTGGCTTGCTGGGCTGGCGGGGTTACAATGCATGATATAATGGGCGAGGGGAGGGGTTCCCTTTCTCATGGTGGGGTTGCCTTACCAAAGACCATTTACCGGTCAGGTTCTTGAGTGTCTTCTCTGCAGGTGCGGCCATGGCGACGATGATACTCAGGTTTCAGGCACGAGATAAGATCTGGCAATGGTGATGGTGGGTGGGTGGTGGTGTTGATGACGATATCTTGGAGGGGTTCACAAGCAGTCCGGTCTAGCTTAAGGTGCCCGCTAAGAAAGCTGGAGCTCCGATTTAATTTCTGGAGAAAATGGATGTTCTGCGTGAGGGGAACGCGGGTGCAACTGGGGAAATTTGGGCGACGACAGTGAGCTTCTTTTATGGCCTTTCCTTTCCGTTTGGGGGAGCACGAGGGGACCCCTTCTCGGATCATATGCAAGGGCAGCCAAGCATTGGAAATCCTAATGGGGCACTCGCAGCAACCCGATGCAGAGCTGCCCATACCGGCCAAGGTGACAATCCCAACCATCACCTCGCTCGACCGAGGCTCGTCCTGCCCTCCACCCCTCTGCAATCGCATTAAATCGCTAGTCTCTGGCGATGGTTTACTGTTTCTGGGAGGTGGCTCCGCCGTGGTCCTCCCCCCGAGCTGCAGCCAAGCCCGCGCGGCGGTCCATCGCCTGACTCCCGCACCACCATCACGACGCCCTCCGAGGCTGGTGACCAGGCGGCGGTGGCTGGAAGAAGGCAAGGCTGAGGTGTGCTGGAAACGACTCCCCATGTTTTTCTCATGTGAGATTGCGGGGTTATCCCAAGCGAGGAGGCAACGCCGGGTGCTCCAGATTCATTTCCAGAAAGCAAGGTGGTTCCATGTTGTGAGACACCAGACCATCTGAGGCTAATCCTGTTCCTGGCGTGGGTTTCTACCGTGCCTCTCTCCCCGCCGCAGCCACACACATACGTCCAGTCTGCCAATGTCCAGCGCAGCCTTACTTCATTGTGCATTACTAAATGGCAAGATTTGGCGAGTAAGCTACTGCTAGAATTCCGGAATTGCTTTAATGTGCAACCCCTGGACAGAGACCACTTCCCATGGAACTGGAGAAGAACCCCGAGACGTTGGCTTTGATACACTGCCACAGCACGTGTAAAATATATCCGCAACGATCACAATGTCATAGGATCAGCCTCGGTCCCGAGCACAAGGCCTAGCCAGCATCAGAGGCCTGTGATTCGGGTGGGCCTTTCAGGATAAGAATAGATCAATGCCCCAACTGGATGGAATACATAGTAGATTGCGAATGATTCCGTGCCGCATCCCCACGATCACATCACAATTTCGGGGTGCCGCTGGACCTAATCGGGAGTATATCCGCCGCCATCATTGTTTGTCTCGGCAACAAACTATTTGGGTTTAATTTGCGCTCAGATGGACGGTGCTCTCCGGAGCCAGGACTGGCTGGTTCATGGTCGTATAATACGTCTTTGACCCACGACTATGTGAGAAGAAACGATATTTCTCTCTGAACCCGGAACTAGCATGCGATGTCCTGTCTATACAGATCCTGGTGGAGGGTTCAAGCCAACTCGAAAGCATGGAATGGAATGCCGAGAAAAGCTTGGCCACGGCCCTTCAGGAAAATAGACTTTCATTGTGCACAAGATGTGGTATATTGCTCTTAATATATTACAGTCTGCCCCCTCCGGACTGAACATGGCCGGTACACGTCGGGATCGCCTTGATGTCCAAGGACACCACTATCAGGCCCCATCTTCAGGGTTGGTCAGAGTTGAGATTCATGCATCGCAGAATCGACATGTCCTCCTTTCTTTGTCCCTGAGCCCCGGAAATGACTGGGCGACCCGGCAAACCGCCCAAGAGGGCGGGTATAAACCTCCCTCCTTCCGACCCCTTAAACGCCCAACGCGATAAGCCGGTTGAGACATATATGCTACGGTCCGGTTGGGCCTACGGAATGGTCTCTCCTTCTTTTGCGTGAATATAAAAAAAGGTCGTCAATCATCATGTTGTCCCCCCCCCTTCAAAAAAAGAAAATAATCCGAGAATGCAAATCAAGGCCACCAGTTCATCTTCTTGTAGCTTTCAATGACCTCCTCGATGAGCTCTCTCGTCATGGTTGGGTGCTCGTATTTGAAACCCAACAAGTTGTCCAGTCGGTCGGCATTCATGCTGAGATCGGTATCCTTGAGCAACTCCTTCTCCATAAATGGCGACAAAGGCCCGGGGCGTGTAATTTCGGCAGCCTGGAGCAAGTCCGCCCAAGGGCCAAGGACCTCGTCGTTGACATCGTCGACAACACTGTCCAGGTTGAGCCTGGCGAAAGTGCTAATAAGTTGTCCCTGGAAGCCGGTCTCGATCTTGAAAACCTCGCCGATGATGTTTGCCAGTGTCCCTTGACACGTGGTGCCCTTGTCCACAACGTTGAATGTAGGCACCTTACCCATGGATGCCTCGTCCCAGTTCTTCTTACCTGCCTCATACCAGGCAGTGATGTCCCACAGAGCTCGGGTCACATCCGTAATATGCGCGGTGTTGGTTCGTAGGTCCTTGGTCCAGAGCCATTTCATCTCCGACTCGAGGTGCTGGTATACTCGGGCCATGCACAGCGCAGTCGCGACCCATTGCGACGCATATGGGCCATAAACGTGAGGGAGGCGTACAATAATGAGGTTGAGTCTAGGGAACAAATCATGTTAGCACTAGAAACCCAAAAATAGCATCTGACGGTGCATAGGTGCACCTGGGAAAAAAGAAAACATACCCCTCAATCTTGGCTAACTCCTCCTCGGCCTGCAATTTGAAGACGGCGATCTTGCTCCATGGCTTGAGCTTGTCTCCCTCTTTGCTTGGTGACGAATCCGACTTGTAGATCATGCCCGTACTTAGCTCGACAAACGCCTTGACTTTTCGCTGGGCGGCCTCACGCCCGACGGCGAGCGACAGATTCAAAGATCGCAGCTTGTAAACCTCATCTTCCTGGGAGTATCGTGTCTCGCCGCCGCAGTTAAAGACATAATCCCATTGCTTGCCATCCGCTCGATCGAATATTCTCGCCAGGCCGTCTACAAATGAAGCGATCAATGTCAGCAATTACCACCAATTCGGGTGTGCAAGTACATGGCGGAGTGCACATATGCATGGGACGGCGTTGGCACCACTTGGGACTGAAGGAGGGGACGCACCTGTTCGGCTGGCATCCGCCTGCATGAACTTATCCTGAGAGCATGCTTCCGAGAATTCGGGAGCTAGCCAGGCCAGTTGCGGTAGGACCTTGTCGACCAGCCTCACCTCAGAGGCCAGGTTGTTCTTGTGGATATGGAGGGCGAGGAATCGGCCAATGTAGCCAAGGCCACCAATGATCAGGACCGACGGCTTCTCGTCGGCCATGATCAGGGTATCAGACGAGAAGGCTGGAGATCTATAGAGGGCCCGGTACAGGCGATGCTACAGAAGCAAATAAGAAAAGGGGCAAAAAAAGAAAATAAATGGCGATCTATGCGGTTGTGCTAGGGCGCGGGCCGTTCTGAGTCGAGAGGGAGCGAGCGCAATAAATAAAATAAAGCGTCGCGGGCTGCCGTTTCTGAGGCTCGGGGCGGCGGTGGAGGAGGGGCGGGAATGGGTTGGGAAGGAGCGGCTGTGGCGGGCAGCGGGCAGGTGATATATCAGGTGGACGGAGAGCCGCAACGACCAGAATGGACTGGAGGGAAGGTCCTTTCAAAACCAATCTGGCCGAGTGCACGATCGCCTATGAGGGAGAGGGGAAGGACGAGAAAAGGGGACGGGACGGGATGCTGGGCAAACTAGGTAGGGCTGTAGGACGTTGGGAATTGCAACTGTGTGCCAGCCACGGGAGCTGGAGATGACCAGGGGGCTTGGCTGCTGGTAGGGGCCTAATAAAAGTAGTCGCTCACGGCCTTGCGTAGGTTATTATTATACGCAGGTAGCAAGGTAGCAGGTAGGGAGCAGGTATGTAATTAGGAACTTGGTTTGACCTCTACTAGCTCTGCTTAGGGGAGGAGGTGGGTGCTGATGGTGGGGTGTGAGAGGGGGTGGGATAATCTTCCTTGCCATGCCTGCTATGAGGTCCAATGCGAATGTAATGAAGGCAATGTAATGTAGAAGCAGACAGCGATGGGATGTGGGCGTGATGGCTAAGACGCTGGCACCTGGCAGAGGGACGGCCTCCTCTACTGCCTCGTGAACCATGTGCTTTAATTACTTACCCGCTCTTTGCCCGCCTGATTCCCAGCCCAGCGTCACTCTCACGCCCGCACTCGCAGCAACTGCGACATCAACACGCCATCGCAGACAGCCGGACGAGGCAATATCTGCCGGTTTCTGTGTCCGTCGATCTATTTTTGTATTTTCCCCTTCTCCCAGCGTTGGAGCCGGGCAATATCCCGCCAGAAAGCCGATGTAGTGGTTCGAGAGAGATCCGTATGGGTGGCCCCTTGGCGGTTAGGTGGTCAGTAGACTTTGCGACTGGCCTTGATGATAATATGCCGTCCTGCAGCTTGTGGTCACGATTATCACACTCTACAATAGCCGGTTCCAATTAAAAAGAGACAGAAGGAAGTGGTCTCGGACCTTGGTTGCTGCCTGCAGCATTTTCTCCCGCATCTGGCTTCTGTCGCTCGATCCGTTTCAAGACCATGCTTGGAGCAGGTCCGGTGAGGTCTCCCTCATACACATCTCTGCAGCATGCCTCCACCGCAACGACGTCACCCGGGACTTTTCCAACCACAAAGTCCTCGCCTAGAAATGTATGCAACAATACATGTGCATGTACGCGGACGGCATGGGAGAGAGAGCCACTCAATCGAGATAAGGCACAACCAGCGCGTGTGAGGCTAGTGATCTGAAGGTTGGGCCTGAGGAACCCCCCTGGATGGTTAGATGGAGGGGCTTGTACCATGCCGGCTCCTCTCCTCGCACTTCTGCAAGTAAGTGGCCCGTGGGTGATATTGGGCATGCGATTAATTAATTGCAAATTATCCTCTTGCAGCCCGGTAGCCTGACATTTCTGCCGCACGGCCTCCTTTCTTGCCCGGCTCGAGCTCGGGAAATTTTCTGTCCTTGTGCTTGGTGGGCGTCTTTCCGGGCCAGAGAACATTCTGTCTGTTTCGTGGGGAGGAGGGGGGCATAGGCAGGCAGGGGGTATGTGATACGGGAACGGGTTGATTACTCTTCTGATCGTCCCCCTCCCCTTCCTTTCTTTTTGGCGCACGCTATGCATTATTATTTCCACCTTGTCTCTCATTGGAGGTCTGGGAGGTTCATGTACAGACAAGGAAGGGGCTAGTACGTACAATGCGCGACCCTTCATGACGCTAAGTCGCTGCTGTTGGTTGGCTGCGCAGCGCGAGCATGAGTCATGTGCCGCCATGTAGCTGTATGTACTGCGCGTAGCTGCAGCCACGAAGAAGCTAACGAGGCCGCCTCGCTTGCCGGCATAAATGTGACGATTACCATGAAATGCGCAGGTGAGGCGCGACAACACTCGATACAAAGGAGGGGGGAACAATGGGAAAGGGGAACGGCACGCGCCATGTGCTTGTCACAGTGGAGCGAACCGCCCGAAATATTTAGGGCCCGCGGCATGAATCCTAGGCGGGCCTAGCAGGCGACTGATGATCATTAGTGGCGCTGTGCTAGATGTGGTGCGGGCTGCACAGCACTAGGAGCGCCTAAACTAGTGCCCTGGAGGGGCGACAACCAGCTGACGGGATCCTCCATGTCGATATGCCCTCAGTCGCAGGTGGTTGAGACTGTGCTCGCGTCGTACCTGCCGCGTTCCTGCGAACAAACTTGCGACTCAGCCGGCAAGGTCTCCATCCCGCTTCCGGCTGCGAAAACACTCAGGCATGCCCCTCATCTTTCGCTTCTCATACAACGTCTCTTGTCTCCCATGGCCCGGTACTAAGCCGCCACGTTCCATCGGCACGTAGCAATATCATCCTAACTCATCACTGATGCGTTCCATCGGCGAGATCAAGATGGGCTAGGCTTGCGGACGGCCAGCCAAGCGGACAATCTATCTTCTAACGTCATTCTCTCAACTCGAGCATGGACGATTTTCAGTTTCGGTTTCAGGACCATTACGAGCTGAAAACCCTCGGGCCTTGCTTGCTTCAACTCATCGGCTACATGGGCCTGGTTCCCGTCCGCAAGGACCTTCTCGCGCGCCCCTAGTCCCTGCGCCGTCGGTGAAAGTAAGTGGGAAAGCATGGCAATATTGTGGACAGCGCCTCTTTTGACTTTCCATACTCTGCCTACCGTCAAAACAAGTTAGCCAGGCGAGGTGGTCAATGGCTCCCCCTCAGAGACTGGCTTCTGTTTAGACATGGCCATCCACAGGTTGGCTGACCCAGGTCTCCAAGGGTGCGCAGAGGAGTGGCAACATGGGGCTGAAGGACTTTCTCCTTCTACCCACCCTGAGCGAATATCCCGTTGACTTTTACTTTGAGTTGGGTACTTGGCAACTCACAACTTAAACGCCATGGTATCATTCGCGGGAAACCATAATGCCCGTCCACCCCCTGCTAAGCCAATGTCTCTATCCTGCATCCGCGCCGGGCAACACGCAACCTACCATGCATTGGCAACTTCCTATTACTGTCGTCTTTAATTATGCTGTCTCACATTGTCGGGTTGGAAAAGACCCAGCAGCGATATACTTGCTGACCAACTCCTCCAGTTCGAGACAAGCTTTGGTGTGCCAGGTCATTAGAGTGCACACCTCCAGGGCAAGGGCCTCCCACCAATGAGAGCAGAAAGCCTGCTCGTCAACCACGACATGATAGTCTCTAGAAGGAGGTGTGCGCCCCTGTCTATGGTGTTCACGGTTTAAATCCGTGCAGTTGTTGAACTACCTATCTAGCATACCGTTTCATCGGTCGCCACGCGTGGGGCCTCTGCTCCTGGACCAAACTCTACGCATTCTCCACACTCGGCTGTTTGCCCGAATTATTGAAGAGCCATTAACAATTCCGAGGGTTTGCTACGTGGTGAAGAGCTGCTGTATACCGCGCAACGATGGTGTGGTGGAGATGGGAGGTGGTCGAACTCTCTCTCGGAAACCCCCGAGAAAACCTCCGCGATTGGGATCTGTGATGAATCGAATGAATCGAGCAGGAGTCTCCTGTCAACGAGCTAAGAAAAAAAGGATATCCCGCCAATGAGCCACCCCCAATTAGGTTCAATAACTTGGGCAGATCAGACACGACCGGCTTACTTCCATTCAGACTACTTACCAATGGCAGTAATCACCATCATCATCGTCGCGGTCGTCGTCGTTGTCGATCCTGAGCTCGTCCCCGCCACCTTGATTTTTGTTCCCTCTACCTTCCCTCCTTGCACTTCCCCTGGGCTCAGGGATTCCCCCTTATGCACGTCAATCAGTAGTAAGCCTATGTCCCGGAACAGTCCATCCACGGCAGCGAGAATGTAACCCAGCCGAGCTCCCCTTGCCGGAACGGCAAATTTTTCCTTAATTTCATTTCTGCAAACTCCCAAGTTCCCAACCCTTCTATAATGACCAGGACTAGGCTTCAGGAGGCGGGCCGCGCCAATCACCTTGCAAGGTAGCGCAACGATCGATCTGTCATAACGGCTGAGAGCCGGGGAAGGCGGAAGGGGAGGGGGTGAGTGTCACTGGGAAGCATTCTCCTTGTTCGTCCGGTGTTATCGTCGGCTCTTTGTCAACAGGTACCATGCGACATCATACGTATATGTACCTGCTAAAGGACGTATGCATGCACCCTCTTGGCAGATGATACTGCTGCAGCTTGCCATCCGGACCTTGGACAAGCCTAAAAAGAATGGACAAAGGGGGGTTGTAGAGGGCTGGACTTTAACCGCTTCAGGTGTAAAATTGGAGGGTTGGAAATTGGATGAAGTGGAAGCTTACCGTCTACAGAGTTTCAGGTCCCTTCAGAGCGTTCTCGTGGCCATCCGCCACGTTGTCGTCATCTGTTCTTGACTACACTACTCCGTGATTGTCTCATTCCCACCGGCTAGACGGTCAGCCGGATAATTTCAAATGTCAAGCAACGATTGGCCCGCTTCACACATGATAAGAGAGATAATTGCCCTTTGCAGAATCATGCTGTATCAAATATATGTAAACACCGTGGCCGGCGCGGTAGTTCGCCTCTGTGCAAGAAAACAAAAAAGAACCCGGCAAGTCGAAAGCAAAAGCCCCATTCATTTCTCTCATCGCTTCATGCTGCCAATGAGCTCCCTCTGTGCCTCTCTGTCCCTCGCGCCCTCGCTCAGGCTGCCCACGCTTCGCAGGTCGCCGACGACGTCCTTGGCCTTGCCGAAGTACACCTCCTGGAGCAGGTTGCGCATCTTGAGCTCCATGTCTTCCACTAGGCGGCCCACGT